GGGTTGCAAAGAGTCAGACACGACTGAGCAACTAAGCGTACACACACACACACAGAAGAACGGTGAGCAGAATGAATCACAAAGAATGTGAGTAGCCAGATAGAGAGTCTCAGTTTCTCTCCGTTTCTAAAAGGTATATTTTTTTCAGAAGCTGGCATTTTGACTTTTTGGTAATAGGAAGCAGTTATTTTTAGGTTCTGTTAAAAGATAAACTGAGGCTTATTAGACATTTTGAGAGTTTATTTGAGCAAGTATCAAATCAGGCAGCTTCCAATCCCACAGATGTGATCCTGGGTCCTGGAAACACAGGTGTGTGGGGGTGTCCCGGCGGGTCTCATTCTGGTCACTAAAACTATACAGGTCCTCCTTTCAAGGAGGAAAACACATTTTCCCTCTACCTTTTAGGGTGAACACTTGGCTAAGACCCGCTTTTTTCTAAGGCATCTTGTAAATGGATAGGCTTACCCAGGTAAAAGTTCTCAGCTGTGCCCACTGTAATTAAAGATTTTTGTAAGGTTTCCTAAGGTAAGGTTAACCTGCTCACTTAACGTTAAAACAAAATTGTGTTCACCTGATACTTCACGCTGGGCCCATCAGAATCAGCTGCACCCTGAACTCAATCTGGTTTTTCAGTCGGGCCCACCCCGACTCCTGTCCTTTCCAAACTGTGTGTGAAAAAGAAACGCTCACGTGAACCCTGAAAGCTCGTAAGGCAGAAGCCCGAGCTCCGAGGTGGACGGTGGACGGGCACAGGGAGGCCGTGAACTCCCGGGCTCCGCAGGTACTGTGCCTGGTTGCTCATCGTTGTTCCTGGGCCTGCTGGGGTCTCCTTTGGTTCTCCTTCTTACTAACAGAACTGTTAAAAGATAAACTGAGTCATATTAAAATTTTTAAGAGTTTAACTGAGCAAACATCAATTTGAATCAAGCTGCATCCAGTCTAGTACAAAGAAAGGCGCTCCGGAAGCTGTTTGGCATGAACGACTTACAAACACAAGTTTGTAAGGGAAATAAACTAGGCCCAGAAGTGGGTGGTTAATGCAAAGTTACTTTCCTTCGGGGCGGGCAGGGGTCTGTCAGGCAGAGACCCCACTAGTGCGGCCCGGATGGTTCCTGACTACCTGGTTTAAGGCTCCATTTACTGGGAGAGCCAAAAATATAATGAAGTCCCAGTTGGTGATGTGGGGCTTAGCATAAGTGATGCCATTTGAGGCCTGTTGTCTTGTTTTTAACAGTTCTTAAATATGGTTGTTTGGGGGTACCAAGTGGTGGGTTCCATTGTATTCCTAGAAATTATTTTTCGTTTTCTCAAATGCCCTTTCTAGACATCGGCCGGTTGGTTTATTGTTCCGGGCACAGAAAATTATGACCAGTTTAGTGGCTGCTTATTACTGGTTGAGTTTCGTTTGTCAGAGAAGGCAGAGGATCAAAGCTTTTCAGCATTAAGCAGAAACTAGATCAAAGGAAATCCTCGTTTCACATCTCATAGGGCGTGGCTTATCTTTAAATACAGAGAGTGGACATTTGGAATCAGGTTTTTATCATAAGGCTGCTTTCTTCTGAGAAAACAACTTACCCAGCCACCCACCCATATTTGTGCCAGGAATGGGGTGGGGTGTGAGCAGTGAAGCCTGTGAGCTTTCTCTCTCTAGTGGGTCTCACGCGTTGGTTCAATGATGATATTTTCATGTCTCTTCTGTGTCAGATGGGTGCTGAGTGCTTGGGGGTACGTTGGTGAGTGAAGACAGGCAGTTGTGTGTGTGATTGTGTTAAACTGTGGGGAGTGTTCCAACCAGGGACAAGGATGAAGTCAGGGGACAGGAGGAGGGGCGCTTCACCTGGTCTGGGCAGCCAAGAAGACCTCCGTAAACGAACACCTAGGGCCAAGGAGACCTGAACAGGTGAGGGACGGGCAGTGTGTGGAACAGCACATAACAGGCAGAGGAGATGAGGAAGGGGATGGCTCCTCAACAGGAAGTGAACGAGAGCAGTTCGGCCTGGGTGGAACAAAGATGGCATTGCCAACCAGGAACGCTGAAGGGGCGGCAGCAGGCAGACCACAGAGGGCCTTCCTTGTCAGCCAGCTTAGAGCTTGTCCTGTGTTCAAGGACCCGTGAGAAGCACTGGAGGGTGTTAGGTAGGGGACGAATGTGATTGACTGTGTGAGTTTGAAGATTCCCAGGAGAGGGCTGGTAAAATTGTGTGTATGTTGGTAAATCTGAGAGTCTATGTGCAAGCCTGATTTCTCTCTTTTTTATAGTGAATTATCACTATGAAGGAAAAGTAAATCAGGAGCGCAGGCACAGGATGTCTCTGGGAAGACCAATGAAAGGCACAATGGCTGCTTCCTGGAGAGGAGCTGAACCCTGAGGGATAGAATTGGAAGGAGTCTGATTTTCCACTGTATACCTTTGAACATTTTTGAAATGATATGACTGTGTTATCCCATTAAAGTGTTTTTAAATCTGAGCATGCATGGAAGAATTCCTTAAAGAGGATAGAGTCCAGTCCCCCTGGCATGGAGGAATCCTTCCTTTTCCCTGATAGACAGGCATCCCACTGTGTCCAAACACTTTCTGTGACAGTTCCAGGGCTGAGAAGTCAAGTGTCTAGAATGTGCTCTGATGTTGAGCTGAAGTCCGTGTTCCCTCCCCCATGCCATTTCCCCTCCCCATCGGTTCTAGCTCTTTCTTTGCAGTGCTGCGTCAGCTTCTTCCATTCCCCAGCCAATAAGTCATTTGCAGGAAGTTTCCCAAGTCAGAGGTCACAACAAAAAGCTGGTAGGTGAGGCAGGTGCTGTAAATGAGCAAAGCAGGCCATGCCAGGTCCACCTGAGCGTGCACCTTCCACCTGGAGATGGGACACAACGAGGGTGGTAGATGCCATGGCAGGAGACGGAGAGAGGCAATGAGTGTGCTTGTGCGGGCATGTGTGTGTGCGTGCTCATGTCCGACTCTTTGTGACCCCAAGGACTGTAGCCCTCCAGGCTCCTTAGCCATGGGATTCTCCAGGCAAGAAAACTGGAGTGGGTTGCCATTTCCTTCTCCAAGGGATCTCCCCAACCCAGGGATCGAACCCACTGGCAGGTGGATTCTTTACCATTGAGCAACCTGCAACTATTCCTCCCCAAGGAAATACTGCCCTGGAAGGAAGAGGGCCAGATATTGCCATTTCTTCCCAGGGACATCAGAAACTGAACATTTAAACAAATCAATTTAAAAATGTTGGCAGCTAGTTTTTTTTTTTTTTAATGTGCAGAACAAGAAAAATATATGCACAGCATGTGGGTGAATGTGGATGGCAACCAGTTTACCATGTGCTCCGTCATCTTTCTTCTTAGTATCATGAGAATATCTCACTTTGTTGTATTTTTTTTAAACATTTATTTATTTGGCTGCGCCAGGTCTTAGCTGCAGCATGCGGGATCTTTATCTTTGGCATGTGTGATCTTGTTCCCTGACCAGGGATCGAACTCGGGCCGCCTGCACTGGGAGTACGAAG